GGTGCTGTCATATCCACTGCAAATAGATGAGGGAGTCGGATGCTGGAAGCTCATGCCTATCATCCTAGCTACTCAGGAGGCTGAGATCTGAGGATCATGTTTCAAAGCCAACCTGGGCAGGAAAGTCCATGAGACTCTTATCTCCAATAAACTACTAGAAAACCAGAAGTGGCACTGAGGCTCAAGCAGTAGAGAGCTCGCCCAGGCCCAGAGTTCAAGCCCCACGACTGACAAAAAAAAGAGGAAGGAGATGGTGGAAAGTGTCAGGGCCTGTGAAGTGTTCTCCCTGCAAGCTCCACTTGTTCTTCCCCTCTGTGCTCTCCAAAAGAATGACATCTACCACCAGGAGTCAGGATCCACTGGCATGAACCTCTGAGATGACACTGTGACCAGCCTGTAAGCCATCACCTACCTTCTGTTTGCATGTTTTCCTTTTTTATGTTTAATTTGTTTTTATTGAATTTCAAATGACTTTAGACATAAAGTAAACATGTAACAAGGCAATAGAGCAGAAAGGAAGTAAGCGCCATAAATACAACTGGTCTCAGCATGGAATTCCACTTAGCACCACATGTTTGGAGTGTTACAAGCATTAATGAGTCCTTACAACACCCAGGGGAGTCGCTCCCCGGCCTGGCGGCCAGGTAGGGAGACAAGCTCAAAGAGAGGAAGATTTCCTCCTATAGAAAACATAAGCAAATAGGAGCTCAGATACATACAGATACAGACCTCTGCTGAGGCTCGGTAGAGGGCAAGTTTTGTTTTCTAGTTGGTGGACAGAAATGAGCTATATGCTTCAAACCACATAATCTCAGAGAAGAACCAAATCCCAGGCTTTCTGATCCTGGCAGAGGGTACCTACCATGACTCTCTAACATGCAGAGTCACGTGACCCGCATTGGTTCATACCTCCTGCCTCTCCTTGGAATATGGTGAGGGCTCATTGCTTCCCAAGGGATAGGCCGTGGCAAAAGCCAGTAATAGCAGCATGTCTGACCCATCCATGACACTTGACCAGAGCAGCATGGGGCATGGAGCTTCTTCTCTGTCAGGGTACAGGCAAGAAGAGCCCCAGAGAATGCCAGAATGCACCTCCTCCAGGGACCCAAGAGAGACATTTGAAAGACACTGTTCAAGATGCCTTCATTAATACCTGGAAAATAGGAAAAGCTGACCAAGAAAGAATGGAAGCTAGCCACCAGTGACTCAGAACTATAATCCTAGCTGCCGGAGCCTGAGATCCAGAGGATCACAGTTTGAAAGCAGTTAAGACAGAAAAGTCTACAAAGACTCCATCTCCAAAAGCAATCAGCAAAAATCCAAGGTGGAGATATGGCTCAAGTGGTAGCAAGCAAGCCAACAAGTGCCAACACCTGGCACCAACAAAAAGAAAAAAAGAAATGGCACCAGAATGAGGCTGCACACCTGGTAGCTAAAGCTGCAATTCCAAGAATGGCCTTTATGCAACACAGCCCACTGCTCTTGGCTGGCACTGCCCTGTACCTTTGAATAAATGCTGAGAGGACCAGCGAGGTGTTGCCCAGACAGGAAGGATGGAGGCAGGCTTCATGTGTAATACCCTGTACACCTGGCCATAAATAGGCCTCACGGGCAGCCGTAAGCATGACAGTCAAGTACCACTGTTTTCCTGGTGTGTTCTAGCCATGCTTCCAAGTACCTGCAGTGCCCACATGAGGCCCCAGATCCTACCATCCCAAACTTATTACCCCAGTTTGCTGATGACCCATGTCAGAACCGTCTCTCAGCTTGGGCTACTGCATGACTACCCATTCTTTTACCATTTGAAACTGGAACTTAGCCCACTTGCACAGGGCCCATGAATGTCCTCCACAATGAGGAGAATGTGAACTTAGTCTCCTCTTTCTTGTCCTCTGGCCTGTGTCTCTAGGGACTACACCAGTAGATGTAGGGTGTGTGCTATAAAGGGAGGCTAGAGAAATGGGGGAAAAAAAAGAGGCACCAGAGAAATCTAACCAAGCTAATTGGAAAGTGTTAGAGGTGTGACAAGGAACAATAAGTCCCAGGAAGGAGGAGGGTCCACATGATTTCTAGAAGAAGAAAAGCCACTGCATACACAGCCATGCCTTTCAGAGAATCTCCTGATAGATGGTGGGCAGTGTGCTGAAAAGGACAGCTCCTGTTCCTGGGAGAGAGGTGTCTCTACTTAATCAACCCCAGTGAATCTCAGGGCCAGAGCCCCAGGGAGCTAATCACCCCCTCCCTGCAGCTGCAGCCGCACTAATCAGCGCTGATACCCGGCACAAATTCCCTCCTGCTCTAAGCTGGATCATGGTTGCTAGTTACGTGGGGAGGGGGGAGAGCAAGGCAGGGAAGGGGCCCCTATTCCACCCTGCTAGCACCACATACCTTTCCAAGAGGTAGGAAACCCAGGAAGTAGCAGCCCTAGGAAGAGTCAGTTTAAAACAAAAACAGAGGAGAAGAAAAAAATTGCACTGGAATGTGTGCTGCATTCTAACTAGTCCCGTGGGTCAATGCAATAGGGGTGGATTATCGCAGGCGAGACCCGGGCTGCCTCAATAATTCTGTAAGTTTGATAAGAGATAGCTGGCACACTCCACTTCCTTCCTCTGAAAGAGAAAACAGACATCATCTTTGCTGTGTCCAACTGCCATGTGGTATTGTGGGTGCAGGGGTGGGTGGGGGGGAGAGGGTTGTTCTGGGGAGGTTTAGCTGCCTTAAAATTGGGCAGCCTTATTCTATCATGACACATTGAAGCCCATTTAGAGCCGACTGCATGTGGCCAGCACAAATAAAGCTACCATTCTCCTTAGGAAATTCAAGATTTGATGGAATGGACCCAGGTCTGAGACATCCTTGATCCTCTCCCTTCCCCCATTCTAAGAGAGGAACACAACAGAAATTTACATCTCTACTTCTATATGCAGCAACAACTCAGAGTGTGAGCAAATACTATGCTTCCCTGAATTAATTTCTGATACAAAAAAAAAAAAGATCACAGAGTATGCTAATTTATATGTAAATTAAGTTTGGCCCTGGGGCTCCTGGCTTGCAGGTAGGGGCTGTGGAGGGTAGAATCTTGGTCATTGCCTCCAGATTGATTTTATAAGAAGTGGATTCTGGGACAGATGGCAATTATCCAGCAATTATTGAGGAGTTGGGACATTTCTTCTCCCTCCCTGTGACCCCCCTCACTCCGTGCCTTAATGGTCCTGAAGTCAGTGTCCCCACAGCCAATGTTAGGGCTCTAGTCTTACCACAAGCATCCCTGTGCACTTGGAATAAGCTAGAGTACACACAGACATACACACAGAGAGACACACGCACACGCACATGCATACTCTGATGCCTGCTCCACATTATGTAAGAGAAGTCAACCAAGGATGCCTCTAAGTTGACTCTTTTCACTCCTACACCACGGGTGGCCCCAGGAGAGAGGCAAGAAAGCCAGAGGCTGATGCCCCTTGGGATTGAGTGCAGTAGGGAACAATTCATGAGTGTCCCTGCGAGATCCTCCACCCTGGACTTCCTTGTCATCCACAGACTTCCTCTGTCCCCCATTCCTTCCTTCTTGAGCCCCCAACCAAGGTGCACACACCTTCAATTCTTCCCAGACTGCCCTCTCTACCTTGGGGAGGACAGTGGCAGTCCCTAAAGGCTGAGCTCAGACAGGAGCCAGTAGGACTCCAGTTCAGAACAGGACACGATGCTGAGTTCTCTCTATTGCAGTGGGAAAAGGAAAGTGGGTGGGACCCCCATCCATTCCTTTCTACCAGAAAGAACTTTCCTCAGGGAATACAACTGCATAGGACTAAGCCTTGCCTCTCTTCCTCCCCACTCCAGCCTTCCCTCCCTGCCCTCCCTTCTTTTGCTTTTTCTCTTTCCCTTCTTCCTATCTTTAGCCTATCCTCTCTTCCTGGAGACTCCTCTAGGACCACACAGGGAAAGTTTTTCTGCCTGTTCCAACCCCTGTGAGTTCAGGCATCTTTAATTTGAAAAAGATAAACTACTAAAGCCTGTAAATACAGGATGGCTGTGAATGAGCAGGTGAGCGTTAATTCTGCTGCTGGAATGAAAGGGAGGGCTAGGGCAGGGGTGGGTGGACCACATAGTGCAGCAAATTGACTCAAGGTAGAGAAGATTCCCAATGCACCTGAGCCCAGCTTTACAAACATCTCATCTCACAGTGGCCAAGGAGTTAGGCTGGCTCCTGGCTCGGAACCCCAACCCCCAGCTTTGCTTCCCAGACAGAAAATTAGCATTCGATTCTTCCTGCTCCTCTCTCTTTTCAACTTAGAAAAGCTTTCCTGACTTTCAGAGCCTGGGCTGCGCCTGTACTCTCTTTCATCTGCAACTTCCACCCCCTAGCCCGACCCCCTACCACCACCACAAACATACCCCCAAGCACATTCAAAACTAACCCAGTTGGTCACCACCCACCACCATCATCACAGGAAATCCATTCAGTCCTTGAAGCCAGATCACTGACCACTACCTTCTAAGAGGCACCTGATTCTTTTCCAGCCTGCATTTTCCTCTTGATTGCTCCTTGCTTTGCAAGTTCCCTGGCCGATATTTAAAGTTTCTTCTTGCAATTTCTTCCCCAGTAGTATAAGCAGCGCATTTTCAAGACCACTACCCTCCCCATCCATCAGTAATTTGCCCCTGCATTCATATATGCTGTTGCTGTGTAAATGTGGGGGAAAAAATGGACAGAAAGCCAGGGAGCCAGCACATAGCTAGGGAGGAGAAGAATAGCAGACACATTTTACTTATGCATATACATTCCCCGATTTCATTCCGGTAGCAGCTAGAATCCAATCAATATTCTCACAGCCTGGTCGGGAAAATGAAGTCCCAGCCATGCTGTTTAAATGCTCTCTCGCTTCCACCTGCAAAACCTAGCAGCAGAGCCCACTCTCGGACTCTGCGAATCGTCTCTAAAGCACCCTGTTACAAATCCCGAGTCTACCATAGGCAAATCAATACCGAGCTCTTACCTTGGAAGAGAAACAGAGCAGCCAGCCCCGCGAAGATTCCCCAAGAGAGAGAATTGTGCATTCTTGCCTGGATGGTTTTCATGATTCTTTTTTTCTTCTTCTTCTTCTTCTTTTTCTTCTTTTTTGTCAGGTTCGGGCTTTTTTTTCTTTCCTTTTTTTTTTTTCTTCCTAGATAGACTGCGTTGTCCTCAAGCTCATCCAAAGAGATTTTAATCCAGTGTGTTTGCTGAAGGACACCACAAGGAAGCCGAGGGTGTGAGAGAGTCTGACTTCTCCGTAATTATCTCCACTCATACTCTGGCACTGAGGCACATTGTACAATCTGGCCCTGGACAGCCCTCCTACAAGCAGCAATCATTGGTTCTAATCCAAGGATTGACAGAGCTACAACACATGCCGCGCGGGCACACACACACACACACACACACACACACACACACATACACACACTCAGGAATCATTTACTGGGCAAATCAGGCTAGCTGATTAAAGAGACAGGAGCCTGGAGAGATAGAATGATAAATGCCACTTTGCCCCTTTTCTATTACTTTCATTTTTTAAACTGACAGGCTCAGAGCCCGAAGCATCAGAAACCCTCCCCGCCCCCCCCCCTCCGCCCCCTCCAGCATTCCCTGGCCTCCTGAACTTAGATTCCCTTGCTCTGGAAAAATCCCCCAACCAGCAAAAAGGCTTAAGGGGGGAAAATCTTAAAGGGACATTTTCGTGCTCTGTGAAACTTGCACGGATGAGTCAAATTCCATTTGTTTGGATCCTGTTTTTTCTCAGATGGTAATATCATTCAGTGACAGCTTTCTTTTTCTCTCCTTCTCATCAACCTTTCCACTTTAGTCACTTTGAGAATAATAAATAACTTTCTATTTTCCCTTCCTGTCACTCCTGCTTCAGAATACCTGCTTCACTCTTATTTTTCATTCACTTTATTTATATCCAAGTCATCCATGGGTATACGATACTATGAAAATGAATGGAGTTTCTGCGATTTGAGAAGTTCCCGAGTCTCAATATAGAGAACTAGCTCCCAAAGACAGCCAAGTCTGTGTTTATTCCATATGCCTCATTTGATATTCACTAAAAAGAACAAAGTATCTGTATTTCTAACTGAAACAAAGCTGACCAGAGCTAGACAGATAGAAGGACTTTCTGGATGTCGATTCGGTTTGTGATTATTATATGTTCTGAGTGTTGCAGACATTCATCTCCATGGTGATAGGTAAGAATGACAACCGATAGACATAGATACAATGATTATTTTTTCAGAGACTTAACTCCAGGATTTGGAAGTGGACAATTCTCACTGTTGACTTCCTCCTATGGCAAACAAGTGATATGATATAAACACAAATGCTGGAACTGAGCCCCTCACAAAACCTTCCCTCCATGGGCCTGACAAACCCATACATGACTCACTTCCACACACATTTTGAAATATGCTTCCAGATGAATCTCCAGCACCAATTGCTATACTTCCTTTTGATCCCTATAAAAATAATATATATGTATAAGTACACACATATATGCGTATAAACATACACACAAGTATATATGTGTGTACATATAGGTATATATGCAAAGATATATGTAAAATGTATGTGTATATAAAATATACATGTCTGCATATATGCACATGTGTGCATGTATTTATAATCATGCATATATGTATTTATAGTGTTTCTATATGAATTTATATTTATAATAATATGTAAACAATATATTTAATTTAATATATATTTAAATAATATATTTGTATAAGTATATAAATAGATAATATATAAACAATATACACATGTATATATATACAATATAAATATATACTTATTATTTACATATATTTCTATTATAACATGCTTTAATATTTTGTTTGTGTTGGTTGTGGGACTTGAACTCAGGTCCTGGGTGCTGTCTATAAGCCTTTTTGTAGTCAAGTCTAATGCTTTACCACTTTGAGCCACAGTGCCACTTCTGATTTATTAGTTGGAGATAAGGGTCTCATGGGGACTTTTCTGCCCAGGCTGGCTTCAAACTGTGGTCCTCAAATCTCAGCCTCATGAGTAGCTAGGATTACAGGCATGAGCCACCTGTGTCTGGCAATATTTATTTATATATATAAATATATATTATATATATATATATATATATACATAGGCCCAGCATACCGATTGTTTATATTTACAGTCAAACTGATGAAATTTAAGCATCATTGTAACTTTAAAACTGATTCAGAGGCACTGTTGATCTTGGGTCATTGTGAATGTGACCAGCTCCTGCAGTGGTGTTCAATATGATGACCTCCATAACAAAGCTCCTGAGGCCCGAGACCCTACCTAGTTCCTTATTGTAGGTCTATGTAAATGGAGTGTCTGAGGGTAGAACCGTTTCCCTTGGTCTGTGAGCTGTGGCCTCTTCTCTGCAAAATCAGATAGCCAGGGTGATTTCTAAAGCCTTTTGCAACAGTAAAGGTGCTTTATGTTAACTATTTTTTATCCCTTTTCTTCTGCTATTAAGTTCTAGTTCATAGGTGCATCAGTACAACCTTGATATTGTTAGCTCCCAATGGATAAGAATCTTATTTATAGGTGGGTGCTCAACATGGTGATTTGTGTGATTTCAGCGCTTTGGAATGATTATGATAGCTAGTAACTGCAATACAGAATGGACAGAAGGATGATTTCTTCCAATGACTACTCTACTTCTCTCCAAAATGACGACAAAGGCCAGGTCACAAGTAGAGACACTAATGTCCACTGATGGCTTCCTTGCAAACTACAAGGAATCCATAGTTACCTCTTCTTATTATGCTGTGGTATGTGTTAAAATGGAACGAAACTGGTCAGGGCTGGTAGTATTTTGAGCATTTGCTTGGTTCCAAGTGTATACTTGGCATTCACATGTGTTTTTCTCACCAGTCCCTCACAAGCTATGAAATATGGCCATTGTCACACCCATGTTATAAACATGGAAAGATGTTTCGCTGAGGGGAAAATAAAACAAACAAACAAAAAATAACAACAACTTGTCCATAGCCACATGTCCCCCCTTTTCAATACTGGTGTTTGAATTCAGGCCTTATACTTACTCAGCTTGCTTACTCAGCTGGTGCTGTACCGTGTGAATCATGTTTCTAGCCCTGATTTTTGCTATTTTAGAGGTGGAATCTTGCAGTCTTTCAGATCTCCATATCCTGAGCAGTTAAGATGAGGCACTAGCACCCAGAGAATTTCTTCCTTCTCTCCCTCCCTCTCTCCCTCCTTTCCTTCCTTCCTTCCTTTCTTCCTTCCTTCCTTGTTTAAACTCAGATTGTGCTCCTTTATGCTCATTAGGCTCTGTCATTTATGCTCATTATGCTCTGCCATTTGAGCCAGACCTCCAGTCTCCAAAGAACTTTTAAAGAATGAAGTCAAGGTTTGAGGCTTAGTATTTGTTACCTCAGATCAACCTCAAATATTCTATTCTATGATAAACAGCCTGAGGGACTCAAATAGATAACTGACATTCTTACATATAATTTTTTGCAATGCATGTGAGTGTGTGTGGGGGGGAGAATAATACTGGTTTGTGAACTCAACAACTGCTCAACGGTTGTTCTACCAATGGAGCCACATCCACAGCCCTTGTGGGAAACAAACCAGATAAACACTACATTACAGAAACCCCTCTTATTTTCTGTCATTGTTTTCTTTAGGTTGTTGCTGCTGCTATTTATTTGTTTGTGTTTGAGCAGAACTGGGGTTTTTAATATGGGTTTCTCATTTTCTAGGCAGGTACTTTACTGTTGAACTGGGCCTCCAGCCTGTTTTGCACTGGTTATTTTAAGGTAAGGTCTTGTTTTTGTTTTTGTCTTGTTTTTTGCCTGAGTACACACCTGGACTAAAATCTGACCATTTTATACTTTCCAGGCTAGCTGGAGATCTCAGAGGACAGCATGCTCAGCTTCTTTCATTGAGATAGAGTCTAGAGAATTTTGGTGTCTGGGCATTGATCCTCCATATCTCAGCCTCCTGAGTGTCTAGGATTACAGGCATGAACTACCAACTCTTGTAAACTTGCTTAGGTTGGCCTTGAAATTTTTTCTTGATCTCTGTCTTTCTTCTATAATCTCTGATTATAGAAGTGAATCACTGTCCCTGACTTCTACAATTAGGATTTCTTGACTTTACTTGGGGGCATCTTCACTCAGCAAGCATCCTACATATGTCTCCCATATCATTGGAACCATTATATTCAGTCTGAGGATTAAGATGAGATCTTATTTACTTTTCACCTGGGCTGCCCTTAAATTGTGATCCTCTTGATCTCAGCCTCCTAAGTAGCTAGGTTTACAGGCATCAACAACAGCACATGGCTTCCACATTTTTTTTACTTTTAGTGGTATTTAAGATTACAAATTAACAAGTATAGTGAAACAATACAGGTATCAATTTAGAAAATATAGGAAGTCTCATGTACTATTTTTAGTATTGAGTTGCAATGATTGGTGCATATAATTTTATGACACAGCTATGCTAGATGACTATTTTCTATGATTGTTTTCTAAAGCTCTTTGGTGGAAGGCATTCTGATATACCTTGTGATGTTGAAACTATGGGATTATAAGCACAGGGGGAAACATCGCAGGTAGAGGATTCTATAAATTAAGAATGAGAATTGGAGACATCTTAGGTCAATTTGAGGTCTCAGAAACCTATCTGAGATCCTCAGTCTTAAAAAAAAGTGTCATTTTGAAATAAAATAAAAATAAAATAAATTGGAAACTATCACAGTGCCTAATCTGTAGTAACTCATTTGATCACACAGATATATATGGCTGATACAGGACTGCATACTGGTCAGACACCAATGGGCTCTGGTTGTGACTTACTGAATGAGTACATAGATTGGGCTGTGTATCCCTGGGTTCAAATCTCAGCTCTGTCCTCTACAGGCTATGGAAGCTGAATGGACTAACCTCATTCCACATCTGAAATGGGGCTGGTAATTACACTGCCATTCAACCATCATCAAGCTTCACAGCCATCAACTAATCTTCATTTATTTTGCAATTTTCACCAAATTGAGACTGATGTGGTATACCTCATGTGTCACGTGGAAGAAGCTATCTGGGACTGGAGACTAAGCCTCTGGATGCAGTAGTTTCAGAAGGATGCTTTGTGCATGAAGTGAGGCAAAACACACCCTCTGGGATTGCAGAGCTGCGTCTAATTAGGTCTGAGTGCTACTAAATGCTCCAGTATCCAGAGAGCTACATCTCCTTCCATGCTTGAATTTACCACAGTAGCCTTCAAGTTTCTCAAACACACACACAGCGCCCTGCCTGGAGAAGGAGTTGTCTTACCTTTTCTGTTATTGAAATTACCTTGGTGTCACCAGTATAGGCTTGTGAGGTCATGTGACTGCACTATGCTGTTATCACTGTAGATGAAAAAGTAGAACCGGGGCTATTTGAAGAATTTTGCCCCTTCCAGGCCCAGGCTTTACCCAGAGAAAAGATTCACACTGATGAAATCAGCATCTGCATTTCTGTCTTCCATGTGAGTCTTCAGGTTCTTCAGGATAAGACTGTCTCTGTTGCTGCCTTTAGCTTGGTCCTTCTGCTTTGGGGTAGCTGGTGGCTATGGTTAGGTTCTTCT